TTGAGAATTTGTTCATTGTAGTCTGTCCGGTTCAGCTACGGATACCGAAACTTCGACCAACAGCCACCTGAAAACTGGATGGAGAAAAACAAACAAATAAAATTTTAATCAGCCAAGTTTTTTGTATGTGAAGATACTAACAACCCACTGAGCAGCATCCTGGTGAGACCCATGGCCAGACCGTTGAAGGAGCTTTCAACACCCTTATTTCTGCAGATCGGCGAAAACTGAATCAGACAGCCCGTGAAAGAGTCAATAAAAGTATTATAAGACAGATTATAGTCAGACCCACAATGTTACATAAGGAAAAGCATGGATAAGTAGTTAGAATGAATACTAGATTTACTAGATCAAAATTCGAGCGGAAAATCCGAAATAGAGCTTGTTAACCTGTTACTCGCACCTGTCGTTGGGGTTTCTTAATTTTCATAAGTGGCATTTGTGTCACCATTCTTCAGGCAATTGTGGTTATCAATCCAGACTAACACGAGTAAGTACTCATGCATATCATCTCTTTTCTCCCAATACAACCTCTGCAATGTGCTCAAATGATGCATACTGTATTTGTAAACATATATTTTCTGTCTCGGATATCTTCCCGTGATCCAATGACAAAATACGTGTACTTCTTAGTATTAGACTTTTGGCCACTTTTGTCTGCGCGAAATAAACCTGTTGTGTCCTTTTCAGTTAGTACTATAGTACAGGGTATACTATACAGGGTATAGTATTACGTAATACTATCCAACATTATCTATCAACTGAATATAATGCCAGGAAATGCATATAGAACGTCACCAAGGGTTAACACAAATGAGGGGACTTACCGTTTATTGTAGGCCTTGGACCCTGCGTCCACAACGACTACGCGACCAGAATTTCTTCACTTGATCTCAACAAACTTGCCGTTGTGGAAGACAGGTGCTTTCATACTGTAGAAAGGGTTGAGTTAAGATCGGTTGCGGTAGAAAGCAATAAAATTGATCGGCATTGCATCCTAGTAAATCCCTTTCTTCTCAGTATGACCCGGATCCATGGAACAGCCTGCAAAAGGAAGCGACTGAATATTGCCATCTACATATGAATGTGCAAGCCGTGTTACAGATCGAGTTTTGCCCTCCTTGATAACTAGACTGAGTATTGGCGTGTTCCGTCCTGATAGTTCCGCGCAGTTTCGCATGTTTGCACCCACCTGTTTGCCCGACTCATGCTGTTTGTTTTTCATTGGCAGGCCACGTCGTGATCGATCTGCTGTACATTCGAAACTACGCGTGCTTACATTCGACCTGGTGGTCGCCTTAAGGTGACACCCCGTTATAAACGAGCTGCAAGGACTAGTGACTGTTTGGACGCCACCTGTTTATCAGTCGGGCCCCGGGACTCGTTTTTGTACTTTATGCCGGTACCTTGCATGACTGTGATCGTGTATGATTAGGCCGGTCACATGACGTCGCGGATTGTATATCTCAACGTGACGTTCTGTGGCAGCGGATTTAGATAGTTACGCACAATCCCCTCAGCGACAAAGACCGATCACCGAAGGTTCAAGAACCACCCGAACGTCTCGATTGACTGTGTCATGGCAAGTTTTCGATTGACCTCTTCAACGCCTCCAGGTGGGCAACAACATTAAACTCATGGGGCAGATATTGAGGGACGTACTAGGAGGGCGCGTTATTCTGTTCAGGAGTGCAGCTCGCGCTTCGTTTTTCCCAACGTTTATGGATAAATCGACCGACTTATAAACTTTATTCACATCCGACATCACATTGTAGATCACCAACGGTTGATGCTAGCATGATGGTATCGCCAACGTAGTCATGATTAGTCAGTCGGCGCTCGGTTACAAGTGAAACATCATCAAAACTATGCAGAACTCTTCTGAAAAGGATTATTAGGGGAAAGGACTTGAACGGTGATGAGATGATAGCGAGTCCTCCTTGCGGAGGTGATTTTTGCCGGCCTATCCTTTTGCTTCGTTATTTGTCATGGAACTCGCAATGAACAGAATCGAACGCAGGGCAGTCGGCAAGATAAGCGCTAATCGATTGCCGTTAGCCGCTATGGAATTTAAGAATGTGCCACAGTGTGGATACTTGATCGGTATGTCTTCGTCCATTTCGGAACCCGGCTTAATTGACTTTGTCCTTGAAGTACGCACACCCTGAAACTTGAAAATGACAATGACAAGGATCTTTGCAGCAATGTAATTGATGCGTCTTATACGATACCTTTTGGACGCCAATGCTAGATGAATGTTCAAACTTCTTTTTTTTCAGCCAACCATTGCACGTTGTGGACGCGTTGGTTATTTACCTGTTATGCTATCGGAAAAACTCGTCCTCATTTTTGGCAAACAGGGCATCTGAGAATAAGATAAGAAACGACCCCTGCTTTTGCAGTTCAGTGCGTAACCTAGGATATACAAGTCTTGCATAGGCTGTCATAAGGATGTTTATGGCCAGGATGCATTAATCTCTTCGCCTATGACTATGCAGTGACTACCACAATTGAATCAGGTATGCAACAAAATGGGTTTTATCGTCGCCGAGTGCCCCGACTTTGGATTAACTATCGACATCTGAATGACGGCCAGTATGCACGCATTAATATGTACTGTCAAATTCGCTGAACCCACGGTAACTGAGTGGTACTCGCCTCGCAGTGGTGAACCCATCCTCTTATCTGAGAGGGACCATCAAATTCGACAAATGACTGCACCCCAGAGCTTGGAGGCCAGTCAGACTTTTTCAAGGCAGTGACACCCAGTACGCAATTGTCGTTTAATCCCCCTCAACACGAAACTCTGGTTGTACATTTGTTTTCATCCTGACAACGTTCCTCAATTGTTGGGAGGCCTAAATAAGATACCGAATCCAAACAGAAACTTGAACAACCTCCACTTACACGGTCTATAAGGGATATTAAGAGCGAAAAGACGAAAACGGATCTCTGGGGTTCGCTGACGTGCTAAGGATTTTCATCCTGTTAAAGCAGGTCCACTTTACAAATATGACTGGTGAGTGCCCGTCGCAGTGACTATTGCGTGGGCTCTCGCAGGAGAGGGGAGCTGGAATGACGTTAAGAGAGCATCGTAGGGACATACTCAATCGAAGAGACCTGGCAAACACTCGTATAAGACAGGCAGACATAGCAGACAGCAGCAGAAATGGTACCAACCATTTCTAAAGCCACCTAAATGGTGGAAGTCAGGGCCAGACGGCAATCCGGGAAGGCAGGTTACCCAACAGCCTAGTTGCTGGCTACTCCCTGCGTCCACATGTGGCGAAGAGTAGAACGGCTTTCGGTGGAGGTTAGCTGCGAAATAAGCAAGTTGCTCGGGACATACTACTTGTCACTAACACGGGCCTCCAGCATCACAGCTAACATTTGCTGATTTGCTAGTAAAACTACGGTCATACGGACAGCCAGATCGCTTACATTCGGGTCGGTTCAAGATTACTCAGCTGGGTTCATGATAGTAGATCAATGCGTGGTGCCGGAACTGGTAAACCCCATGGGTGGGACCATGTTCTCGTTTGCACACGCCTTCAAGTTCATCTCTCATCTGCACCCAAATTTCTACGTAGACGACATCTTGATGTTGCAAAGCTTCGACAATCCAGCACCACCGAGGCTCTGAGCCCAGAAATCCGGTTGCCCTTTACGATCTGAGCGGACGGCAAAAAGTGGTAGCCAATGGTCACCATTGAAGTGATTAGTTTATGGTACGATTGAGAAAATTCTTCGGCTAACCCACCGATCTAGACTCTTAGTGACCGTCCGCGATATGAATTGAGGCTTTATTGCTGAGAACTCGGCCAAGGTCAATTGCTGATGTGAGCATTTCGAACAGCTTCTCAACTTCCATTCCCAGCCCACCACACCCTCGCCCTCCCCATGCAGCGGAGTTCTATCCCCCTCCAGAATATGCGAGGTCCAGTTGTCCATTTCTGAGAAAGTCGCTGATGTGATACAAAGGCCGCGCAACAGCGAGGTTCCCAGGGGGGATGGTATTCCCACCAAAATCTACAAGTCTTGTGTCAACACTCTGGCACCCTGGCTCGATGATATTATTGCCTAAGCGTGGGTAGATGAGGTCGTTCCTGACGGCTGGTCCTTGGGCATCCTTGTGCCTGTCTTCAGGAAGGGAGACAAGACGAAGCGCGAGAACTACCGTGGCATTAGCCTAATCGAAGTTGATGTGAAGGTCTTCGCGGTTGTCCTTCTCAGGCGATTCCATCGTGTGTGTGACTGCAGGATGAGGCCCAACCAAGTCGGATTCCGAGCTGGGCGCGGAGGCGCAGACCAGATGTTCACACTGCTGTGCTTTATTGAATTCTACCATGGTTACCGGCAAGCGACGGCCGTCGTTAGCTGTGTTGACCTCGCAGTTGCGTTTGATTCCGGCCATTGTGGCAGATAATGGAAGTAGATGGTATGCCGGCCAAACTCATTGTCATGATTAAGGCCTACTATCGGTCTACTACTGTGCGGGTCCTGGTCCCTAGTAATCTGTCCCAACCGTACGATATCAAATCCGGCCTTCGACAAGATTGTATTATGTCGTAGTTCCTCCTGTTCAACTACGTCATTGACTGGATTCCCGGAGGAGTCCCACGCAGTATTAACGATGTTGCGTTTGCATCCGGGCGCTGGTGGACTGATCTCGACTACCCTGACGACATCGTCTGACAAGCCTAAAGCCTTGTTGATTTATACACAGCCTGTGGTGTTTAGGGTGAGTGAAGTCGCTGTTTCCCTCTTTTTATCCAAAAACGCTGACAAGAAAAAAAACACTCCGGGGGATTAATGACTGTCAACCTGAAGAGGTAGGCAGTTTAAAATCCCTCCAGGCGAGGCCGCTGCCGGATGGGCAGAGAAGAAACAACATTTTCTCCCAAATTAATGCTGCTTTCACAATAACTGGAGACAGTATATAGGCCCAACGTGACATCTCAATCACCGTAAGGATCAGTGTGTATCAGGCATCTATCTGGTCAGTCCACCTCTACGGTTGTGGGTGCAGGACTGTGCACGCGGAAGATAGGGGAAAACTGGAGGTGTTTGTCCACTGGTGTTTGAAGAGCATTCTTCGAATGAGGTACACCGATCTCGTCGCGAATGAGGTAGTCTGCACTCGCTGCGACAATATCGCAAGGATATCCCAGGTCGTCCAAGAAAGATGGCTGAGGTGGTTTAGGTGTGCTCTTCGTTGTCCGCCCTATGAGGTCAGTGTTAACGTCCTCGATCCGGTGCCGCTGCCCACCTGGAGTCGTCGAGGAGGAGGCCAAATCAAAGCCTAGCTTGAGGCAGTTGGTTGAGGCATGGAAGTGGTTCATGGACCTTTGATATTCGGTCTGT